TCTTTTTTTAGAAGCCAACCACTACTACGACTAGAAGTACTACTACAACAACTGTACCTACAACAACCACTACAACGACATCAAGACCACAACCTGTAACCACAACGTCTTCCGTTCCAAGGTAGTTTTCAACAGTTTTTTTGCAAGCCCCGTGCTTTACTATATCCCACACTGCTGAGTCATTAAGCAAAAGGGAACATAAAATTTTTTTGAATAATTGAAAAATTTTGCAGATCTACTTCGACTCTTCCACCTAAGCAACCAACAGTAACGACCGAACCTAAGAAGGTGATGAACAGAGAACAAAAGTATATTTTACATTCTAAAATGGTTCAGGCCACAATTGATTTTGAAATGGAAAATGAAGTGGATGTTCATAATGCTGACTCTGCTCCACCAAAGCAAGAACTAGAGCCAATGACTAAATCAAAGGAAGAAACTGCTCAACCAACAGATATTGATGACGACTATGACAGTACAGAAACGGATATAGTTCATAATCCCGAAGATGATGTAGATGAGTTGCCTTCTGATGACCAACGTACAACCCAGGCAAGCTCGCTTAACTTTTAAAAATGTTTCTGAACAGTGTAAACACCAACGTAGTATTCCACCCAGAAGTAGCTATTCATTCACTTCATAGCTACTTCTTATATTGAACGCAGTTACAGAGTGAATTAAGAACTACGTCAGCGATTGACGGGTCGGCTTTCGAAAACGCTGATGCTTCCAGAGCTTCTACTGCACGCACAACAATCCAAGTAATGAGAAATGTAGAGAATTAATCGTTACTAGCTCATATTGTGTTTTGCTAGTTTCATACCAAAACATTTACAACTATATTTCTCTTAGCTTGCTTATATTAGCGTTTATTTAACTCCCATACTAATAACGAGTGTACTATCTCACTTTACAGCTTTTAATTTCATTATCTATCCGCACTTCAGACAGCTTCTACCGCCTCAACCACTCCAAGCTTGAATCTGCTACCACCCGCTACAACTTCACCTGAAAATATCAACAACTCTGAGGAAATTTTCGAAACTTCACATCAACCTAAGCTTTCCATCGTGGATTTATCCGAGCCAGATTATGATCCAGAATTAACATCGCATAGCACTCAAAGTACTGCTACTGGTCATACACGGGCTGATCTTATAACGCTGACTGCCAGCACAATGGGTATGGATGATATACCGTTGAAAACTTCGCCAATGCCTTCAATAACGAAGAACACTATGGCACCTCCAGATGAAACGTCACCTTTTGATGCTAATTCTGATACATTCAAAATCAACGAAACCGCTTCAAAAGCTCCCACAGCTATCCAAACTTCAACAAGTAAAATTAATGTTGTGGACTCATCGTCCGAAGAAGTTCTGCCTGATTTAACTAAACCAATTATTGATGAACCCACATCTGAAAATGAGCATGAACCATTTAAGCACAATATGCCTTTTGAGCCTTCACAATCAGCTGATTCTGCACAAGCACCTGAAAACTCAGATAAAGATCATTTTGAAATGTTCGAGGTAGGAATCTTTCCACTCGTATGATACTTTACTACCACATCACAACGTATTCATTTAAAGAGGTGTATTGTGTTTAGTTAGTTATGCAATACTTTCAGACAACTACATTAACGAATGGAGGAGATGTTCAAATGCAACCAGAATCTGTGGTGTTCCCACAAGGTATCTTTTGCCTTTACGTTAAAACAATAAAAAGCGTATTAAGGACAATGTCCAACGCCCAACAACTTGAAAGATCAAAATCGAACTGATGTTCTTTTCCTTCTCGATTCATCCAACTCTTTCGATGAGGATAAGTTCATGCACGCCATTACCCTTATTCTTCACACAGTTGATTATTTCCAAAACATTGGCCCTGATGGTGTACAGGTTAGCTGAAGATGCTGTTGTTATTTGCTCAATTTACTATCTAGTTTTCACTTGTACAATACAATTCTGAACCATATTTGGAATTCTCTTTGAGGAAACATAATTGCAAGCAATGGCTATTAGATGATATCGCTGATACTGAGTATATGACAGTGAGCTATTCATATCTGCTACGCATATGATTTACATTTTTTCAGGGAAAAAGTATGCTCGGAAAAGCTTTGGATAAAGTGTCGAAGTTTGCTTTTACAAAGAAAAGAGGAGATCGTTTGGATGCCGAAAATGTTCTGATTATCTTGACAGGAGGAGAGTCTGATGACCGCGTACAACAACCAGTAAAGGTTGAACGACTTGTGATGAAGCTCATAATACGTTATGATCGTTATAGATAGCTAAGCAGAATAACATGACCGTGTTAGTTATCGCCACACTGGAAACTGATCCATCTTATCTTCTCAATCTTGCTGGTACAAAAGCTCATTTCGTCATGATTTCTTTAATTGCTCTGATTAGGTGATACTGAAAACGTCTTCCAACTAGATGATTCTCCTAATGCTCCTCTAGCTGGAAAGCTAGCTGAACGCATCAAAGCTTCGTCATCAAACGGAAAAAGTGAAAAATGCCTGTTTGTTTCAATTTGTAATTTCTTTCTTTTAGATAGCGTTACTGTCTCTGACAATGTTGACCCGATGGAAATTCATCAACCAGTCAAACCAGTGGATATCAATGATTTGAGTGATGAGAAAGGTGCAACACATTACAGAATTTTAAAACATAGCTTATTGGTTTTCAGAAGAACTTACCGTTACATCTCAACCCATCGTTGTTAACAAAGATATTAACGAAGATCGTTTGATAAAAATGGAATGTGCTCCTGATGGTTTCCAGGTTCGTTTAGATCATATGTTTCTTCAACGAATTATTGTATAGATTGATTTGAATCTGCCTGCTAATTTCCTAGGACATGTAGTAGTCAAAGGGCAGGAGAAGAAAGAAAACTGCAGGAAGGTTGTGAAACAATGAAACTTTGAGATTTACAGATGAGACTTCAGGTTATTCTTCCTCTTGCTCATAGCTCTGGTAACCAAACAGTTTCTTTCTTTGTCGCTAACGAAGACTGTGAAGTACAACAAGTCAAATCAGTAAGATTGGCAAATTTGGGGTTTTAAAACATTATGGGTGTTGCAGACTAAGCCAGAAGGAATGAACTCTACAATGGTTCTCCATCTAGTTCATGATCCGTCTTTAAGAACAGATAAAGACAGAGCTTATCTTCTGCAGTGCTTCGTTGGAACTGGGGAAACCTCAGAAGCTGAAGTTTCGACGAACCTGGATGTTCTCAAGAAGTTAGCACACTCCATATCTTGTTTGTTATTGTTTTCTTTTCAGTGACATAACGATAGCTGAAACAATATCTTTATCTTCTGTACCTCCTACATGTAGCTATTCTATACGCAAAAACTCACCTGACGGTCCAACAATCAGCAAAGCAACTGTTGGTCAAACTGTCTACCATCGATGGGAGTGTGATGGAGGAGATGGTAATTAAAGAACGGCTGTTCAGTCAGAGAGAAATTGATTTTATTATAGAAGCTAACCACGTATATGGAATTCAAGTTCACAACTGCTACGCTAGCGATGATATAGAACAGAAATATCCTATCGTTGACAACAGAGGGTAGATTATGATTGACTGTGAAATAGCTGATAATGTATAATATTATTCAGATGTTCTTCCGATTTAGCTGTACTATCTGATCCATTCTACGAAGACGAAAAGCTAGTAGCATTCGCAGTGTCACACGCTTTTGGTTTCAAAGATACGGAGTCATTAAAGTAAAGAAAACCGCCAGTTAGGGGAAAAAACATTTTTACTTTTTTAGGTTTGTGTGCAAGCTTAGTTTGTGTACCAGAGATGGTGATGGATGTGAGGGTGTTACGGTAATAGCTCTTCGAGTACTATTGTTTATTTGTTCAAATTTAGCCACCAGTCTGTGGGAAATCTCAGAATCAAAGTGATCTACTCCTGACTAGAAGAACCCGTCACCAATATTCTGCTATAGAGAAGGCTTTGACTTCAGCCTTATCCACTGAAGTTGACTTAACTACTCGTGGAGCGGAAATTCGAGATAAAATCACTGGATTAGCGACTAGTCACATCACGCTAGGTGTCGTAGCTCTATTAATCGTAGCATTAACTGTAACAGGTTTGGCTTCACAAATTGAATTCCAAGCTTTAAGGCAAATTTTTATAGGAGTAGTTTCGAAGCTCTATTCACCTAGAAGTCGTGTGTCTTCCTCATCATTCTCCACAGTTGATGATGAATCTGAGATTGGCTTCAGTCCTGCATCATCACCACAGCTAACGCTACGACTTCCAGCTGGAAGTTCAACATCAAGCTCAGTTGAACCAGCGGCTAATCCTCGTTTAGTTGAGTTCCTGCGCGATTTTGATCGCCAACGTTATGTGTAAAAAAGGGTTCTGTAATATCTATAATATTCCTAATATTAATAGCATTTAAATAGCATAATATAGTTTCATATATATTTGTAAAAACAATATGACAACCGTCATGTGATACCTCTTCCAATCTTTCAGCTTTTTTCGAACTCATTGACCATCTCTTTATTATGAACAAAAATCTTCCTAGATCTCCATAAAAGGAGATATAACACGGCTATATGTATATGATGTTATGTGTTTTCTCTGTTGCTATGATGGATTTGTTGCAAATTATCATATTTCCAATTTACTTTTTATTAAAATTTTTGGAAAAAAATAAATTAATATACAATAATTTGTGATAATAATTGAATTCATTAGAATATAGAAGAAAGCAACCATTCTGGGCGTTTGCAGTTTACAAACTGATATTAATGAGAGTGTCATTATTACTTACGTATGTTGATATTATAAAAAAACAAATTATGAAGTTAGGTAACGAGGTAAGATACCGGACCTGATAAGATCAGGATTCGTTATGCATTTGATGAAATCACAATGTAAGGAATAAGTACATAAATGGTAAGTCAGAGGCAATAAAAGGAAAATAATTGCTTTCCTAGAGATCTTCAGCTATTAATGATTTACATATGAAATCAAACATGAAGTGCCTTAATCAGATTCAATTTTTCACACGTATCTCGGACAACCCAAGTGCAATCTGGCTTGGTTTCTTCTTTAAGTCCATTGACCACGCAACATGAAACATCACCGTCAGCAAGATCATGAGTTGTCATAAACTAAATATTTCAAAGATTAATTATTCAGTTTCCAATCTAGGTATAACTCACTTTCAATACTTGTTTCCAACTTTGTAATTCTCCTGGTTGTGGAGTTGGGATATGGTTAGCCAAAAGAGCTGCTCCAAAATCGTGGAAAATTCCTTTGAGAGCTGGTCGGTTGGCAGGGCAAGACGTAGCTTCCCAGCATCGTACGAGACGGAGGTAAGATGCAACCTGGAAAGAGAAGAATCTTTATGAAAATCCCATCTATTTGATTGCTCACGTCATAAAGAATGAAAGCTGTCGATTTACGAGCAGGATCGAGAATGACGTAATCATTTGATCTGAATGGAATCTGCTGTTCGGCTTCCAGTACGGTAACTAATTGTAATCCAGAAGATCCAACAATTTCTACGGGTACAGTCCATGGTTGTTCAGTCAGTTGACGGATGTTTATGTATGTAGAGGTAACATGAGCTTGAAGAACTGGTCGTGTGCGTCTTGTAAACCATTCAACCATCATTTTTCCTGCATCTTCAGAAGCAGAGCTATGTTGAACAGCCTGTTTCCAATCTTCAAGAGTAGCAGTGCTGAATGCTCTCTGTTTAATAACCTTAAAATAAGAAGCAGTTTAATCATTAACAGAAAGGTGAGAACTCACCTCTTTGATCATTCCGGTCACAGTGTCTTGGCCATAGATTTCATCTAAACTATAGAAAACGGATACAAGACGTTGCTGACATTTGAGGCTATTCTGTAAGACAAACAATTATAAATAAAGCTGAATGATGGATAAGCTGTTACCGGATACAAAGCACGGCGCCCAACTCTATCTTCATCTCTGGTCAAATCCCTTGGTCTAAGAGCTGTGACTTCTACCGAGCGAGAGCGATTGACAAATTGCAGCTGTTCGTTGAGCTTCCATTCCAAGTAAGTTGTAAGAGCATCCTGCAAAACGAGAAAAATAACTTTGTTTGTTTTGGTGATGGGGTCAAAAACATGCAACAAATGATTGGTCGTATAACATATCAGCGTCACTTGGCATCTCAAGTGGTTGCGCAACCATCATAGCAGTTCAAGTTCTGATGGAGTACGTCGCCTGTTCAGCAGACGCGTTTACCTTGGATGACGTGAACATTTCGAGCAGAAGTCGGTCAAATTAACTATTTGCGGCAGGAGAGCAAAATAAAGCAAGAAAAGAATTAAATAATCATAAATATGGTCGTATACGGTAGACTGCGCAAAGCGAAACACTCAGCCGCAAACAGATGAGCGAAATGTGTTTTTGAATAAGTTTATGACGAACAACAGAAGATGTCCTAACGCTTCGCTAACTGGAGCAATTATAAGGATAATGACGGTGAAACATTAAAAGGGTTTAAAGATGTTGAGTAGTTTAAGGATTATGATTCAAATTGATCCAAGCCGACATAAGGGTCATTAAAATATAAAAAACTTTGCGGCTATTTGTTTATCTAACAGATGTGTAGAGAAGGGCTCTTTGACTCGTAAAAGATGATTCGCACTTTGCCGTCGAAATCTATTCCGGCAAACTCCCTGTTTGGCCGAAGGTATTACTCTTGCCAAAGTAGAGGAGAGGATAGATGTGTAATAATATGAATAGATGATGAATCATGTTTCATATGTTGTTGATTTGTAAGCCTTTTGATGAACAACAGATATCATAGATGAATTAAGTGCATAGAGATAGAGAAAAGGATGAAGAGAGAGTTAAATATGTGGAGTTATGAGAACCGATCATACGGCTAATGATGAGAAGCTGCCACACTTTCTCCATATTGTTCCGTTTCTCTCTCTCTTTCAATAAATTTTGAGATAGTAACAGACAGATGGGTGTTAGAACAACTTCAGGTCATTTAGCTTTTGTTAATCCATCAGAGCGCCGAAAAATTGCTTTGAAAAATGATTTACCTGGAAACAGAAATCTTCATCGGCTGTGCTGACAATTCCTCCAAGCCATTGTCCAATAACAGAACGCATGAGAGACTCGTGAGCCATAGTATAAGATGGGTATTCAATCAGACGATCTTGAAGAGAAATAATTCCAAGAGCGGAATGAGCAGGTAAAGTGATTGGAACAGAAATCAAGCTGAGCTTGGAGAAAGGATAAGAAAATTGAGTCCAGTTAGACAGTACAGCAATAACCTTGAAAAAATAATAATCTTAAATAACAGCTGGAAATGTAAAACATACCTTAGTAGCTTCGTTATAAATCCAGTCATGCTTTTCACGCTTGAAATTCTTGGTAAGAGAGAAAGCTATCTCAACAGAGGGAATGTAACTACCATCTAAGCTGGTTGAGTTTGTCAGAATGGTTTTTGCCTGTAAAAATAATAATTTTATTTCATGTTAACTATTCTGTGTTCTCACTCGTTCCGAGTAGGAGAATGCATATTGCTGAGGTGTTAAAGGGACAGTTGTTTCGAAACATGTCAATTTGCCATCAGTGAATGAAACTTCAGAATTAGAGCGGATTTCGGAGCCGATGGCGTGTGTCACGCATAAGTCCATTGGAGCCTATTGAATAGTTCATAGGGATGTTTTTGATCTAAACCATACCTTATGGATGGAGTTATCGAAAGAAGGTAGAAGTTTTCGGGCTGAGGAAGTACCAAAAACAGTTCCGAGCATGGTAGGAGCTTCACGATGCCATCTTGGAGGTGTAAGAGTATACAATACTTCACGAGCATTTGACACAGCATATTTGTTGAAGCTGAGACGTAAATGATGACCAGCAGGTACAGTTTCCGATAGAACAAAGTTAACAACTTCTTCACGTGGTTCAACAACAGTCTTGGCTACACAAAGTGTTTTTCCTGTAAAGCACAATATATAGAAGCGTGTACAAATCCCTATTCTCATTTCTAAATCTCTCTCTCTCACTGTTTCTTGAAAGACTTTTGTTCGTTTTCATCTACAGCGATGAGGGAGGAAGACATATGACAGCTGGCTGGATAAAGGAGGAGAAAAGAGGTTATAAACGTGCAAAGGAAAGCTGTGACAAACTAGAAGAACGATAAATCGCAAAATCACAAAGAGAACAGAAAACTGAGAAGTGAGAGTTATTACTTTAGGCTAAAAGCTTTTGTTTCAACTACTTAGAGGTATAAATGCTATTGAATATCAATAACAACTCAAATTTTTGTACAAATTCTCATAGCTAATGGATGAAGCTGTCAGACTGACAAAGAATAATAATGGAAAAGTCAAAACATAACACTTGTTGATAGCATGTACTACTTTGAAGTTATTCTTGACAAGTATGTTAAGGATAAAATATGAAAAAAACATGTTGTCAACAAGAGAATGATGGACGTTACAGGAAAGAGGAATCTGCTGATAGACAGGAGATAAATGGACAACAAGCCAAGTTGTTAATGACAAGATACGAGAGAAAATGAAATGAGCAGACATGCCACCCTCATAAGCAGCAGCTCATCATTTGTCAAGATTTTCGATTGGTCTGTAGTGAAATTGAAACTCTAGGGGTCTTGGATAAACAAGATTAATTAAGATGAAAGATAGAAGTATTGATAGCAGATATTTTCTTAAACAAACTTCTTACCGGTCTCACAATCAACAATTGTTAATCCATCTTCTAATCCATAAAGAGTTTGAGCAGCATTCAGAGAAATCTTTAATAGATGAATGGTTAACAAAGCTGATTAGTTAAAGAATTTTACTTGTTTTCCTTCTGTTTTTGTTTGGATGAAGATTTGAGTTGATGCTTGCAACTGTGTTGGTTGAATGGCAAGAATACTAACATTCCATTTATAGTGAAGAACCTTGAAGGCATCAGCTGATTGACTGCTAAAAACATTTTTTTTTCATTTTCACAAAACGATGAGTCATGTTTATCACTTACACAATGCTGTCTTTAGATGCAGAACATTGAACAGACGTTGCTTGGATTGATGAGCACTTGTTAACGACCTGAAATGAAGAAAGAAATGAAAAATTTAATCGAATTAGTCATGATATAGAGAAAAAGAAAAGAATACTCACTTCCAATTGCTCTTTTCCAACAATTTCTTCTGTGTCTACTGGTAAAGAAACTTCAAAAGCCTTCTCAGTTGTGATTTCTTCGGCTGTTGTGGTGGAACTTATACCCTCTTTAAAACATATTGAATTTACCTTTGATAAACTTTTGATTGATACCTGTAGTTGTTTCTATTTCTTTTGTTGTTGTAGAACTTCCTGTAGTGGCAGAAACCGTAGTGGACGTTGATGAGGATGTTCCAGTGGTAGTGGAGCTCTTCGTCGTAGTACTAGATGGAGTGCTGGTTTTTATGCTAGTTGGTAAAGACTTTGTAGTATTGAGCTGATCGATGTTATCCAAATGAGATGCCGTGAATTCATGCGCAGACTGCGGGCGAAGAAGTAGAAAACCAATAACGACAGAGCAGAAGACAATTAATCCGACAGCAATGAGAATGAGCCAGAGCAAACGACTAGGATTTGCTTCCTTTTTGAGCGGCGACGCATTTGACGGTGCCATGTCTGAAGATAAAAAGAATATGAAGTTTATTATGTAAGTGAGCACAAGAGAGAAGAGGTAAGGAGACAATGCCACGACTCACCACAAAGCTAATGACGAAGTAGCCAGAGCTGAGCAAAGGGCGGGCACGATCCAGATGACCACGCCCCGGCAACAGACGCACGGCGAGCTTTGCCGGATTTCAGGTCAAAGATAAAACGATTCAGACCGCCTAAGGCCAACAGAATGACACCTATCTTATCGTGCGATATACTAAATAAGAAATAAAAAACAAACAAATAAATAGAAACTTCACATTATACCCAATGGCCGATCTGACACTTTCACGTTTTTATCATAATCATGATGTATTGTAGGTTTGTTGATCTCTATTCTTGTTAACTGAACGTCCCATATATGAACATTAACAAACTTCTTACCATTGCTATTAGCAACTTTCATAGTGATTAGCTTGATTTATAAAACATTTTCGTGAAAACGTATCCTAGTAGTGTCATCTTGAGGAATTCATTTTGCAACCAATTTCATATATATATATATAAATGAATGTATGAAGAGAGTGAGTATACAACCGATTCTCTGATGCTTCGTTATAATAATGTGTGCGTCAAATATACGTGGCATGAGCAGCGTCACTTCTCAATGCTAAATATTCTAATTTTGTCATTTTAAGTCTTCTGGTATCTGCACTTCATTTCTTCGATTTATTATATTAAATGACAAATGACAATGACTCAGTTGGATATCAAACAAAAAGTGAAAAGAATACTCGCAACAGTAGCATAATGACTCCTTAGAAAAGTCAGTATCAACACTTAGAGGAAGGATGTCTGGCGAACACACACATGTTCAAGTGTTAATATATTAACCTCTATATCAAGTATTAGGTTCGAAAATCTTCCGGAAGAAAACACAATCCAAGATTATTCTCCAGTATTTGAAATCTCAAACAGTTTTGTATTTTTCTAATCTGACTTGTTGCCAGCAACTTGACACTTCATCTACTTTGATCTTTATACATTAAAGCATTGATCAAACTAAGAAATGAGCTTCGAGTTTGAAGAACTAATAGAGAGAACAGGCATACATGTTTAAAACAATTTATTAATAAGTTGTGATCTAATAAAGAATACAAAGTGATGGAAATAGCTTTTTTGTGTTTTTCTAAAAACGTCTTCAAATTCTGTACAACAAAAAAATAGGAAATTTAGAATATCTGGTTAATAAATATATATATAACACCCGTTTTCTAATATGAGTAGATGCAATTAGTAAGACGAATTGCACAGAGTGAGAACCCGAAAGCTTTAGTAATACCAGTTTTCATCATATTTGGTTAATTGGAAGGTACTATACGCCATGAATGGATAGTAGGGAAACGAACATTCAGGTAATTCATATACTCTAATTGATAGCCATCAACACTTCCACGACTGAGAATTTGCCTAAAATAAAACAATGTAAGACCATCATACTGCGCAAACAATACTTTTTTTGTTCTTCTGTCCAATTTGCTGCAGCATTATCTCTTCTTTCAATTTTTCTCTGTTGAGCTCTCCATAACGCAGGTCTTTCTTTTTTCTTCAAATCTTCCACCAAGCTTTTTTGAACATCAGCCTTAATGAAATCGATCATAAGCATATTTTTAAGATGGAACTCACTTGTTTTCCGAAATGAACAATGATCTTATCTTTCTCTGCTCTTAGTTCGACTTGTTCTTGAGAAACGATTATTGTAAAGTGCGAACGAGATTCAGAAGTCAATGTATGAGCCAAGTGAGGTCTAACGAAATGTCTCTCAAATCCAGAATTCCATTGGCGCCAATCAAGTTCAACCGATTCATTGAAAAGAAGTCTCAGCAGAGCTTCGTCATCAGCACTTAATGAAGGCAACGGTTCTAATATTGTCTGAAAAATGAATAAAATAAATATATTTTCTTTCTGAGTCCTAACCGTATTTACATCCGGAACAAGAAGGAATAGGTTAAAGAAACCAGAGTTATCCGAAGTGAATTTGACATCATTAGGTGGCAGCATGCTCGAAGATGTGGTGTCAACTAGCGCCGATGGACTCAAAGAAGTTGGAGTTGAGAAACGCTTGAAAACTGTTGGGAAAGAAGCAAGACGACGCGAGGAAATGACGCCAGCCAAGTTCATATGGAGAGGCAATGGGGGTAACAATCTAGGAGATAGCCCAACATGTTCAAACCATGAAGAAATATCTGTAAAAACATGTTGCGTATGGAAATCACCATTTATTCATTCTACCTAATGGGAAATCCGTTTGATCGCTGTACTTGAAAGAGAACAAATCCATTGTCGATTCCATGGCAGAAAAATCTATTTGGATAGCCTGCTTGGGGCCGAATGATAGAAAACGTCCAAGTTGAGTATCGAGGGGTCTCCCATTAATAATGGTCACAGATAATTCAGGAATATCTATTCCTCCACGATATCCAATCGGTACGAAAAACTCGGAATCAGTATCAGTTAGAACGCTTCCGTAAATATCATGATAAATCTCTTTAACGATTGAAGAATCAGAGATGACATATCTGAACGAAATAAAATAATAATAGAGGAAAGCTGAACGGAAAAACCTCAAACTTCCGAAAGAATCTGTGAGTAAAGCATAACGATAACCATTCTGATTGAGAACGAATGGGATTCCCTTCTCGTCGTACAGAATACTACCAACACTTGAATCTTGATTGGAAAAGTGAGTTACACGATTCTTTTGATCAGGTAACGCGTAAAACAGTGTCCTGGTTGACTGAAAATAAGATGACTAGTTTTCGAAACCTTCAGGTAAAAACTCACAGCTCCTTTTCTAATGGTACTCAGACGTCCTTCGTGGTCATAACTGAATTGGAACCTTAAACCATTTGGAAGAAGAGATCCACTCAATCGCCCAACACAGTCATATTCGAACATGATGTTACCTTGAAATGAATGCATAAAATATACTTATGAGATTTATCCAGTACCTCTCTTGATGACCCATCCGTTCCCATCCACTGAATATTCAGTTCGATTGTTCCGTTTGGGAACACCTCCGGAATGCCACTCAAAAGTGATATCATTAGAGCTATGAGGACGGCCATCGTTATTGAACAAGAGCAGATGTCTTTTTCCAGAAGTTGTTAAAGCAACAACTCTTCCCAGTTTATCGTATTCATAACTTTCTCTTTTAGTTCCAAATGGACCATGCCAATCATTGGCCACCACGCGTCCAGTGATATCACGCGAGATTACATGACTGATTTGGTTATCTCCGACACTAACTCGACTGTTCTCTTTTCTCATGTAGGAATCGTAGGAAACATCGTGAACCATCTGTAAAACGAAAGGTACATTGCTTCAGTATAGGTAGCAACTTACATTTTGTCCTGTTATCTGTCGGCGAGCAGAGTTTCGATTAATTTGATAACCCTGAACTTCATTTAACAACGAAGATCTATCATCGTATCCTATACGGATTGACTCAACTGCAACTCCTTCGATAGTGCAATGTACAGAAGTTGGTCGGAACATATCATCGTACTCATAAGAGAACGTTGAAACGGAGAAACGCTTCTCTTGTAAGTTTGAATAAGATATACTGCTGATGAGAGGTCCTTGCCAACTGTAGTTGACATGTAAATTAGGTGAAACAATGAGCTTGATCATAGAACTGCGATCGCGTGAGAAGGTTGTGAGAACACTATCACATAGTACCTGAAGATTTGTTCAGTAAATAGATTATCCATTAAAAAAATACTAACCGATTCTGTCTGCCCATATATGTTCTTGGAGGACACATAATGATGCATGTCATCAGCTGAGGCAAATTCACAGACGTTGTTATTCTCATCCAGAGCAAGTCGGAATGGCTTCTTGGTGAAAGGATACCGACGAAGAAGAATTTTTTCTCTTCCGATTGGAATGGAGTTGAAAGAATGAACATCACCCATTGGTGTAGTCACTTCTTTCAAACGGCCACGTGAATCCAACTTCATGGAGTACTTCAAACTGTCGGGCATTTCAACACTAACAGGATGACGATAGTCTTTATGATATCCAAATCTGATGGGAGATGTCTTCATTCGAATATATTCAACCACACGATTTTGTCTATCATAAGCAGCTTGGATAGACATATTACCCCAAACTACTTCACTTCTGAAAAAAAAATATTAAGCAATAAATACTGATACTTTCTAGTACCGTCTGGAGAGTGAATCATAAACGACAGTCAGATTCCGCGCATCATTCTTAACAGCTTCCGAATTTTCATAGTTTGGCAGAACGATAGAGTTAATCTCCCCACTATCAGTGTATCCTACTGTTAACAGTACAGCATCATTTGAGCGTGCCCGAATAACATCACTGTGACTTTCCCGGTCGAATGCAACCGAATAAATGTTAATTCCATTAACCTGAAACTTCTCATGAGCACGTTTATATGATCTAGAGTTAGAATTATTGAACAGTTGTTAACTGGTTACGGACACACAGAGGAGTTCAAATCAAAAGTTATCGAAATTAGGAAAAGTGTTATGTTGTTAGTTGGATTATTATCAAGTCCGCAAATCGTTATCATCTGTTCACTAACCCTTGGCCGGATGCCAACCTCAGCAACACGCTTTTCAGAGTTTCTCTTAATGAATGGTCTCCAATCGAAACGATACGTCAACTCTCTGCGGGAAGGATTCTAAAATTCAATTTTCAAAATGTTTAGAGGAAAAAAAGTGACTTGAACGGATGGAATTGAGATCTTCGATTTCATTATGGTTGGCTGACCATGCTCTGGGTGACTGTATGTATCCAACAAAGTGACCATATTATTGGAGGAAATCAAAAAGCCGTCATCTAGAGAGTTTAATCGAGTTCTAGTCGAGTCTAGAAAGCAAAACAGATGTTCTCGAAATATATTCAGACCAACCTTCATAAATGAACTCTTCTTGATCCATAGTCAAAGTAGCGAATTGCTCACCATTTCGGTAAACCTCTGCCATATAT